AAACAGAACAAAAACCAGATGAGATAAATAGAAAACAAATAGCCAAATATTGGACTGAGGTGCACGCCTATAATCTCAGCACTCAGGAGCCTGAGACAGGAGGATTGAGGCAAATTTGAGGCCAGCCTGGGCTACACAGTGAGACCCTATTGCAAAAAAAAAACAAAAAAAATTTTCCTCCTGCCCACTTTATTACTATAATTATTACTGTTGTGCATATGTGATAAGAATACTTCATGTAAGTCTACTCCCTTAACAATTTTTAAGTATACAATATGGTACTGTTAACTATAGATACTATAGTGTGCAGTAGATTTCTAGGACATATTCATCTTGCACAGCTGAAACTTTATACCCTTTAGCCAATAACTCTCCACTCCCCCTCCTCCCAGCCCCTGGAAACCACTACTCTACTCTCTGCTTCTGTGAGTTTGACTATTTTAGGTCCCATATTGCTGTAGTTTGGATCTTGAATGTCTCCAAAGGCCCATGTGTTGAAGGCTTAGTCCTCAGCCTGTGGCATTGTTGTAAGAGGTAGGACCTATTGGAAAGAATTTAGTCACTGGGGTATAGCCTTGAAGGGGATATGGAACACCAGACCCTTCCTGCCTCTCTTTGATCTCTAGCTACCGTGAGGTGAATAGACCTCCTCTGCCATGTGTTTCCACCATGATATACTCTGACACTATGGTCCTAAAGCAACAGGGTCAAGTGACCATGGACTAAAACTTCTGAAACCAGGAGCCAAAATAAACTTTTCCTCCTTTTAAATAGATTGTCTCAGGTATTTTTGTCAGTGACAGAAAGCTAAGGCACACATATAAGAAAGATCATGTAATATTTGTCCTTGTCCATTATGCTATTATCTCACTGAGCATTATGTTCTCCCAGTTCATCCAAGTTGTTGCAAATGGCAGGACTTTCTCCCTTTTTAAAGCTGAATACTCCATTATATCTATATTTATATCTATATCTCACATATTTTCTTTACTCATTTACCATCCATCAAAGGCTTCCGTGTCTAGGCTATTTTTCATGTTGCTGCATGAGCACATGAGTGCAGAGATCTTTGAAATTCTGATTTCAGTCCCTTTGCATATATACTCAAAAGTGGGGTTGCTAGACCTTATGCTAGTTTTATTTCTAGGTTTTTGAGAAATCTCTATGTTGTTTTCCAGTTGGCTGCACTAACATTGCTACCAATAATGTGCAAGGATTCCCTTTTCTGTACATCCTCATTAACATTTCTTGTATTTTAGTTTTTTGTTAATAATAGCCATCTTGACTGGAGTGAAGTGATATCATTGTGGTTTTGATTTGCATCTCCCTGATGATTAGCAATGTTCTATCACTTTAACAGTAGTAATATTTTTTTCTATGGCCCAGAATGTGGCTTATCTTGGTAAATATTGGTTATTTTTTGAACTTTAAAAATAATGTGTATTCTGTGTATGCTTTTTTTTGTGGTGGTAGTGGTTCTGGGAATCAAACTCCAGGTCTCACATACGTCTAGGCAAATACTTTACCACTGACCTACGGACCTAGTCCTCTGAGTATGGCTTAACAAAATGTGCATTTTGCTATTGCTGGATGGAATGCCTTACGTATATGTCAGATAGATCAAGGTTGTTCCTAGTCATGGTTATGTCTTTTGTTTTTATCAGTTATTGAAAAAATAGTATAGTGGTGACTTCAGTACTCATTGTTAATTTGTTCCTGGAGGTGTAATGAGGAGCAAAAGTGATGAGTACCAAACAAATTGTTTTGGCTGAAAGGGTAATGAGTTACAAAGCAATCGACACTGACAAGTTCTAGCTTGTATGTCAAGTACCGAATTTGACAAGTTGCAGTTGTATTAGTTTTTGTTTTATGAAGCTCTATAAAGGGCCAACAAACTGAGTTCCAGAAGGACTAATGAGAATGGAAAGAACAATATTTCTCAGATCCAGGAAACAGAATGAATCGCAAGTAGGCTATTGGTTACCTAGACATATCATACTGAAACTGCAGGGGGGGAGGGGGAGACTTACAAAACAGACCAAAAGAAAAGACCTATACAAAAAAGAGGAAATACTGATAGTTCACCTCTTAAAAACAACAAAAGAACTAGACATAGTGGTGCACTCCTATAATTCAGAACTCGGGAGACTAGGGCAGGAGGATTGCCTTGAGTTTGAGGCCAGCCTGAACTACATAGTAAAATCCTGTCTCAAAAAGCCAAACAAAACAAAGAACAACAAAAGAAGAGAACATAGTGTAAGAATGTATTTAATATACTGAAAGAAAATAGCTGTCAACTGAAAATTCAGTGAAGCTGTATTTTAAGAAACATTGCATAAAGAGTATTTTCAGGCAAACAACATAAAACATAAAACCTCTTCAAAGATCTGAAAGAATTTACCACCCAAAGACACTCGTTAAAGGAAATCCTAAAAGATTTTTTAGGGCTGGGGATTTAGCTCAGTGGTTCAGGCGCCTGCCTCACAAGCTCAAGGTCCTGAGTTTGATCCCTGGGACCAAAAAAAAAAAAAGATATTTTAAAGGAAATCCTAAAAGATTTTTTTTTTTTTGAGACAAGGTCTGGCTTTGTAATTCAGGCTGGCCTTCAACCCGCTATGTAGCCCAAGCTGGCCTTGAACTCACAGTGATTTCCCTGCTTCAGTCTTCCAGGTGCTGTTATTACAGATGTGCACCACCATGCCTGGCTAAAAAATGTATTTTAGAATTTAAAAAATGAAAAGCCTGAGTTTCAAGAAGGAAAGGTGAGCAAATCAAATAGTTAGGGTATATCTCAGCAAACGTTGACCATGGAGCAACAATGTCTAATTTTTGGAGGAAAAATAGACTATAACTAATATATTAGATTTATACTGGAATTAAGGTTGTCCAAGGTTCTTGATTATTTGGAAACAGGATAAAGATTTTAACTTTAGACTAAAATTCAGTTGACATTCTAAACTAGCTAATGTAAACAAAATAATAAACATACTGAATATACTTTCCAAATAACTAGAGGGAAATTAAATTAGAATAAGAAAGAGAAGTCAAGCTGAGGCAAGAAGATCCATAATTGGAATCCACCCTAGGCAACTTAGCAACTTAGCCAGAGTGTCTCAGTTACTTTTCTCATTACTGGGACAAAATACCCAACATCTACAAGTTAAAGGAGGAAAGGTTTATTTCAGCTCACAATTTGTAGAGGTTTTAGTTCATGCCAAGGCAGGGTGGCATGGCAGAGGGGCATCACAGAAGAGAAACAGTTCATGGTGTGGCAGGCAGAAGGCAGCAAGCAGCAATAGTAGCAGCAGGCCTCCTTTCCCTTTTATGCTATCCAGACTACAAGCCTTTTGGGTGGTGCCACCCACATCCAGGGTAAGTCATTCATTGTCCACACCCAGAACTATGCTAAATCAATTTAGTTATCACACACAGCTAATCCCAGTACCACACATCTAGATCCAGCCACATCCAAGTGGAAGAGGCACCTATGAGTGCATGAGGCTTTGGGGGGGGGGGAGCATATCTAGATAATGAGCCATAACACAGACCCTATCTCAAAATAAAAATAAATAAATAAAAAGATTGAGGAACTAGCTAAGTGCAAACGCCCTGGGTTCAATCTTCTCTCTGGAAAAAAAAGGAAAGAAAAGAAAGAAAGAAGACAATTTAAGAGAAGGTGAAGCAGTGAGGAAAAAAGTAATAGTAACAGGGTCTAGAGCATTTACCTCAGTGTCTGGCATGTTACTATAAAAATAATACTAAATAATGTATATAATTCGTTATTCTTATTACTGTTATTTCTATTTTGATCAATCTCTGTGGCATTCAAGACAGGGAACCTTAAACAGGTAAGTCCTAGTAGTTCAGATAATCCTTTGATGTTAACAAGTTGGTAATACTACTTAAAGGAGAGATAGCAATTAAAGAGAAATCACTGGAAGCTCGCTATTGTGAATTCCAATGTTAGCCCGAGCTGTGGGCTAAATTGAGAAATTAAAAAGCTCTATTAAGGGCTAGCAGTATAGTTCAGAGGTAGTACGCTTGTCTAATATGTACGAGGTCCTGGTTCCTACCCAACATTGAAAAAGAATATATATATTCATATATATATATATTTTCATATATATATATTCATATATATATTCATATATATATTCATATATATTCATATATATATATATATACACACACACAAAGCTCTATTTTTACTAGTTATATAACCTGAATCCGGTCATGTGTTGTGGCCTCATTTGTAAAATGAGGGGGCTGAAATTCAAATTGGATAGTTCTATATTTTTAAATCTTTGTTAACCAAAAGAAAGAGAAAATCTGAGTGGCAAAAAACCAAAAGCAAAAAAAGGTGGAGTGGGCTGGTTCTGAGATGGCTGCATGAGTAGCCATCGTAATACCTCAAGCACTTCAAAATTCAGTTCACACTAAATAGGAATCAGTGGCTCTTCTCACCAGAACCTGACAAGTTTGGAGGCTGCTTAAGTGGAAACAAAGCAAAAGTAAATCCCTAATCAGAGGAGGCCTGGAAAGGCTTCCCACCAGGATGGAAGGAATTCCAGAGGCCCTCACAAGAGCCTGCAGGCTCAGAGCTCTGTGTAGAAGCACTGAGGTAGGGCCCCTAGACATATGTGAAGCTAGCAAACAAACCCAGTTTCCTTTCTCTTAATTACACAAACTTTCCAAATGCACCCATCCCACCTGAAAGTATTCTTGGATGTGGAACCCCTTGCATCCTTGTAATTGACATGTAACACCTGCCCTTTATGCATTTTAAGGACTATATATTGTGGTACTGTTATTGGGTAGTTCCTTTAGAAATGGGTCGCCAATCAAAATTATTCCAGGTCCTTCTTGCCTTGAACAAATAATTAGATAAGACATGCCAAAATTGTGCCAAAAGTTTATTTGAAAAGTGAGGAGGGCTGGGTATGGTGGTGCCATGCCTGTAATCCTAGCACTCAGGAGGCTGAGGCAGGAGTATTGCTGTGAGCTCAAGGCCAGCCTGAACTACATAGCAAGACCCTGTCTTAAAAAAAGAAAATTGAAGGGTAAGCGAGGGAAAAACTAGCTCTGCAGATCAAACTTGGGCAGAACAAGAGTGAAAAAGGGTAAAACCAAAAATAAAAGTACACATTGCATCTGGGAAACGCAGCATGGGGTATCATAGAAATTCACAAAGCAAGCTTCCAGTGGCATCCAGTCTTCTTTCATGCTGTCCACATCTCCTGGGAGCCATGAGAAGTTCTGCATATGGGTCCTGGTATTGCCCTGGGATCTTGTAATTGACAAGTCTGGCTCATTTTCCCAGACAGCTTTGCTATGCCCTATCTCATATATCAATATGATAATGCCCTTCAGGTCTAGGTTTGCCCAAGGAAACTTGGATATGGAAGATAACTGGTTCAGCCTCAGGTCTGCACTCAGGTAGAAAGGAAAAGAGTTGGGGAGTATACAAGCTTCACAGGAAGTTCTTTGAATTTGTGTGTGGTGTGATTCTGTCTGCTATTCCTAAGTATAGTTTATCTAATCTATTTTGAAACAACTCTGCTGACTGACTGCTTTATTGCTCATAAACCTACTGAATCTCCTCTCTGCAGCTTTTAAAGATGGGGTCTGGTCTGTCTCAAAGCAATGTCAAAAATAAAAGGGTATAGTAATACACAAGGATATTCATTAGAACTTACTTTGTTTTTCAGTACTGGGGATTGAACTTTCACACTGAGCTGTGTCCCCTGCTCTTTTAATTAATTAATTAATTAGGTTTTTTGAGACAGGTCTTGCTATGGACTTGAACTCAAACTTGCAGCCATCTTCCTGTCTCGGCCTTCTGAATCCTGGGATGACAGGCATCCACCACCACACCAGGCCCTTTTATTATTTTTATTTTGACACAGGATCTCACTACATTGCTAAGTTGCCCAGGCTGGGTTCAAACTTGGATCTTCTTGCCTCAGCCTCCCAGAGTGGTAGGATTACAGGTGTGCACCACCATACCTAGTACAGAGTATTGTTTAAAGCAGTGGAATACTGGCAAGAAGCCATCAGCAGAGGCTGGGGGAACATTCCTCTATTGTAATGCTGGGAATTTGACATGCAGTTAAGCAAGTTGGTGAGTGGTATACAAAGTATGATCTCATTCTGGTAAAAATCAATGATTACTGACTGGGGATGCAGTTGTAGTAGCAGACTTCTCTGGCATGTACCAGGCCCTGGGTTCAATCTCCAGTACTACCAAAAAGAAAAACAAAATTAATAATTAGTACACGTTATCAAGTCTTCAGTGATAGGGAAGGAACAGACCTCAAGCTCTCCTAACATGAGCTTCCAGGGAGGCTGAAAAAAAGATCAGGGAGTGCCTAGAATGTCAGGCAATCCCAAGGCAGTTGTCTCAGTGCAGAGGGAAACCCCTTAAAAGTTTGAGCAGGATGTGAGTAGTGAAGGTGAGGCAGGGACTAAAGTAATTTCAAGGTTTGTAGGGTAAGGGATTGGGAAGCTGGAAATTATATTTTGATAACTCAAATTTCATACTACATGAGTTGTGTCAGTACAGAATCAAGTCTAGAAAGAAATGAATTAGTTCAATAAAAATGTTAGGAACTGGGGTTGTAACTCAGTGGTAAAGCTTGTGCTTGGCATGCACTAGGCCCTGTATTCTACCCTCAGCACAAAACAAAACAAAAACCAGCTGTTTTCAAAGTAATCATTTGAATGTTGCTGCTTAAAGAAAAGTCATGTGTTTAGACACAGATTATAGCTTTAAAAAGTGCATTAACTAGGGTTAGAAAATGTGCACAGACATACTGTGTAATGGTATCAGGTGCTCAATTTGCCTCCACTGAATCTGGTTCTTTTTCTTCTTCTTTTTTTCTCCCGGTACTCACGATCAAACTCAGGACCTTGCACTTGTGAGGCAGGCACAGTGCCACTGAGCTAGATCCCCAGCTCTGTTTTATTTTGAGATAGAGTCTCACTATGTAGTCCAGGCTGGTTTTGAACTCACTACGTGGCTCATGCTGGCCTCAAACTTGTGATCCTCCTGCCTCAGCCTCCCAAGTGTTGGGATTACCTGTGTGCACCACCGCCTGGCTGCCTCCACTGAATCTGTTTCTACTCTTAGGAGACAAAGACTATCAGTCACTTGAGTGTCTGCCCCCATACACCTTGTCTTTAGATTTGAAAAAGTAATAAAATGACTCGTTTATTTATTTAGTTCTTTACTGGAGGCTTGTTGTAGTTGCATTTATTTTTAATTTTACTTAACTAACAAACAGCATCTGTGGGCACTGCATATAATAGTAACAGAGATCAGCAAAAGAGATTACCTTCAGCCAGAGACATACAAAGTGGACCAATCAGCCAGAGGAGTGCCACTGCCCCACCTGTAGAACTGCAGGCCAGAGTGTTGTCAAGAACCCAGCTTCCTAGGGGAAAGAAGCAGAGCCAAGAGGGTCAGACTGTCACGAAAATCCCTGCTGGCCACTCTGGAGTTGTGAAATCTTGGGCAAGTCACTCAGAGTCTCTGAAGCTGATTCTCAACTGTAAAATGGAGCTAATGATATCTCATCTTGGGTTTGTGCTGGTTGTGAAAACTGCCAGACCGTGTGCCAACAGAGCTAAGCACAACGAGCACCTCCATCCACATTTCTGAGTGGAGCTGTCAAAACCCAAGTATCGCATCACCTTATTTCAGGCGAGATCTACAATTAAAGAAGATACAACCACCATGTCACACTTTACTTCTTCAGGGCCAGCTGTTTCACATGTATTAATACAACCCTTTAAGGAAGATGTATATTTCCACCTCTCTGATTTATGTAACTATTGGCCCCAACCAAAACAGACCCTTTCTCTGGGTCTGCGCTGCTTCCCAGCTGTTCACATTTCCTCTGCGATTGTTAGAAGCTCCACTTGCTCTGCAGGAGCTGGAGGAAAGTAAACAGCTCCACCGGGCAGGCGCCCCACCTACCATTTTATTTTGCTAAATCACTCCTTTAGCTAATATTTCAGGGACAGACACGCGACGCATCTGGCTCCAGCCAAATATTTTCAGTCACTCGGATCTCAAAGTAAATATTTGTCAGTTCAATTGCAGTAACGTGGGGTAGCATGAAATAAGGTGCCATTAATCATCTTTCAATCAGGGCCAGTGCAGCTGCTCTAGAGTGGCAGTCCCACCCCTTTCCCATGAGCCCCTATGTGGGCCCCGCCCCCAAGCTTCCGGTCTGGGAGCTGAAGCTTTTTTGAGGCGAGTTCGGGCGGGTCAGGTGGATCAGTTTCGGTTGAGTTCCACACGTTGTCAAGTTTTTCAGCATATGTTGCCTTCGTTCAAGCCCCAGGACTCCTCAGAAGGGTTAGTTGAAGCCATCTGGTGGTATGGGGATACAACAGGAAAGGGTTAGAAAGCCTCCAAGGACGCATGGTGAAAGGTATGATCTGAGGGGATAGACTGGGCCACTCCTCCCAAGATTTGTGCCCCGTACTTTGTTATTTTAGGAGACTTTGCCATGGCTCAAGGCTTTTGAGCTACAAATAAACAAGGCCCTGGGGCTTGTGTCCTATGAAGGTTTTTGCACTTCAATGGATGTGAATATACAAGAAGTTGTCGAAAAATATGATGAATGTTTAAGTTTTATTAATTTTTTTGAGACAGGGTCTCGATATGTAGTTCAGGCTGGCCTTGAACTCACCATGTAAGCCAGGCTAGCCTGGGACTCACTATGTAGCTAGGAGGAGTGACCTTCCTGCCTCAGCCTCCCCAGTGCTTGGAATAACATGCCTGTGGCACCACGCCTGGCATAAATTTTAAAAATTTATTACAGTACATGACACATTGCCATTAATCCTCCTCAAAGTACTACTCCTCGCTTCGAACACACATATCCATCCTTCTGCCATTTTCTGAAGTAGTTCTGCAGTCTTCTGTGAATGTAAGTGTTGTGATTTCTGCTGCCCAATGCCATCCAATGGAAAAAACACTGTGGTGTGTCCTTATCCACCTTATTCACCAGATCTGATTAGTGTGACCTTTGGCTCTTTCCCAAAGTCAAAATGACCATGAAAAGTAAATGTTTTGAATTGAGGTAGCCATAATAGTGCAACTAAAGATAGGAAAAAGGACCCCCAGAACTACTTCAGAAAGTGGAAGAATGATAGGGTTAGTGTGTTCTGGGATGTGTATTTGAAGCAAGGGGGTTAATGGCAATGTATCTTTTACTATATTATTATTTTTTTCAATTTAAACATGGTATCTTTAGATCACACCTACATGTGTTAGCCTTTTTCCTTAAAGAGGCACAGAATGATTAAAGGGGGGTATGGCAGAGTTCCTTAATCTTTCTGGAGCTCTTTTGAGACTTGGATGAAAACTAAGGGCCACTGGCAAGAAAACATTTATGAACAGAACATTTTGCCCATCAACAGGTCATTTCCTTGAGGGGTGGTGCGTGGTATATTCCCCAGGTTAGGAAACCTTGGATTCTTGTTTTGCCTTGGGGTAGGGCTAGAGGGTGGTACTTTCCTTGGGCCTGTAATTTAAGAGAGCATTTAAAAGTACAGAAATCAAGATAAATAATTCAAACAATCAAATCTACAATGACATGCTTGTGGCCCGTTGCCCCTTTTTGTAATAATTTTATTGGAACCAGGTGTTTTGATGTCTAAGAATTTGTTGCCAAATCCAATGTCATTAAGATTTTCCTGTGTTTTTTCTTAAGAGATTTATAGTTTTAGATTTCATACTTAGATTTTCGATCCAGTTTGAGTTAATTTTTGTTTGTGGTATAGGGTTTAACTGTATTCTTTTGCAGTTGGACATCCAGTTTTCCTGGCACCATTTGTTGAAAAGACTTTATGTGCTGCACTTTCTTGATGCCAGGGAGCTTAGGCTGCTTCTTTCACCCCAACCCTCGTGCTAATAAGTGCTCTAGAGGTTGTAATGCTGTTTGACTGGGATCATAGAGAAGACATAAACTCAAGTCTAGTGGAGAAGCATGGTGGCCCAGTACAGCTAGCCAAAGTGATTGCTGAAATGTTTACTGTAGAAAGCTTAATGAAACTTTGGCTAAACCAGTTTCATTTGTCATAAAATGGGGATGGTGACAGAAGACCTTTTTTTTTTTGCCTAAGAATAATTGCTGGTATATTACTATGGTTAATAGTGTGGGTAATGCTAATAGGAAGTGTGCTATTACTGTGTGCTGAGTATTATATGTTAAATGCTTTACATATATTTATTACACCAGACAGTTTTATGAGACAGGTACTATCATTTAAGATGTAAGATAGGGAAAATTATATCTGCTTTGCAGAACTGTTTCGAGATTAAATACAAATAATGGACATAAGATTAGCAAAAAATATGCCCATAGTAGGTCTCCACTAGGCCCTTTTCTCAGTCCAAAAGTGATTCCCATTAGCACAAGAATTTACAGAAAGATTGTGTGCTTGGTTGCTAGCAATCTTGAATTTCCTAACACTTCCTCTTTAAGGTGAATTAGAATGATTATACCAGTTGGATAGATAAGGTCTGGTAACGTTTATTTACAGGACTAAAATACCTTGTAATTACCTACCTGCAAGGCAGCTTTACAGTCACTCATCTAGCAGCGAGGAAACACTGGCAGCCCTGGAAATAGCTGACTATATATTTTGTTGCAATATGTTGGTGATGTTTTAACTCTTCATTTTGGCTGATAAAGTACTGTTTACCTAAACCTTTTTTCATTTTGCTCCCTTTGCTCCCTTTAGTTTTTAAAGTGATAAAGTGAAAATGTACAACTCTGTAAGACCAAAGTAGATGAGGCAAATAGTATTTAAATTAGTTAATACATTAGTGTAGTTAATGATTGTAGTTATTCTGGGCCACATTTTCTGGATGTTATTTGGATATTCATTGGATGCATTGAGGCCACACAGATTCTCTTTAGTTGCAGCTAATAAATTAACTGGCAGTAGGATCAAGTCCTGCTCCTCAGTGGCAGCTGGGCCCTCCCCTAGAGCCTCTCTGCAATCCCTTCTCTTATTGCAAATTGACTTCCTAATTCCCTAAAGCAGCTGTTGTAAACCTTTTCCACCCACCTCCAACTTCTTGATCTTCTCTCTGGTATTGACATACTACGTGGCAGGTGGAGAGTGCACTGGCCACCAGTTCTCTTTCCTGCTGCCTTTGGGTCCTCTGGCATCTTTACCTCATCTTTCTGGGGTGCCCATCTCTTCCCCAGATTCCTTCTCTCCCTGGTCCTGGCTTCTTTCCTTGCTTCTCTTATAACTTCAGTCTTCTTTCCCTTTCCCCCATAAACAATCTCAGATCTTCTTCAATTTATAGAAGCTCCAACTCTTATTTCCCTGAAAGCGAATTTTTTTCTTCTTTTATTACTGTCAAACTCTTAAGTTTTTTCAATACAAAAGTCATGTATTTTTTCATATTTGTAGTAGAAAAATTGTAAGGTACAAATAACAGGCATGTTTCAAAGACTCATAATTACATTTCTGGAGATAACCACCAATGTTAACATTTTGGTTTATAAAATCAATCTTATTTCTTGGTTTATTTTCCAATCTTATTTTTTATATGGGTGGGCATATATTGCTGTGGTATGATGCTTTTAATTCTTTTGGAAAAATACCAAGAAGAGGTGTAGCTGGGTCAAATGGAACCTCTAGTTTTAGATTTTTGAGAAATCTCCATACTGATTTCCACAGTGGTTGCACCAGTCTACAGTCCCACCAGCAGTGGAAAACGAAGGGCTCCTTTTCCCCACGGCCCGTCCAGCATTTGTTATTGGTTGATTTCTTTTTTCTTTTTCTTTTTTTCTTTTTTTTGGTTGATTTCTTGATAGCAGCCGTTCTTTCTGGAGTGAGATGGAATCTCACTGTTGTTTTAATTAGCATCTCTCGATGCATTATTTCACATATTTATTTGCCATTTCTAATTCTTCGTCTGTGAAGTGTCTTTTTTATTTCAGATGCCCACTTTGGCATTGGGTCTTTAAATTTGGGGGTGTGTGTCTGATTTTTTGAGTTCCTTATATATTCTAGGTAATAGTCCTTTATTTGAATAGCTGGTAAAAAATTTTTTCCCACTTTGTGGGTTGTTTTTTCACTCTGTTGGTGGTTTCTCTTGTTGTGCAAAAGCTTTTTAATAAGATGAGGTCCCAGTTGTTGATTCTTTGTAGTATTTCTTGTGAGGTCTGGCTTTTGTTCATGAAGTCTTTGCCTACAGCTACGTCCTCAAGTGGTCTACCTATTCTCTCTTCCAGCAGATTTAGTGTTCCTGTTTTAATATTTAGATCTTTGACCCATTTCGATTTTAGGTTAGGGCATGTGAAAGATATGAGTCTAGTTTCAATCTTCCACATGTGGAATGCCAGTTTTTCCAGCGCCATTTATTAAAGAGGCTATCTTTCTTCCAGTGAAGGTGTTTGGTTACTTTGTCAAAGATAAAGTGGTTGAGTATTTCTGGAGTTGTTTCTGCATCCTCTAGTCTGTTCCACTGATCCTCAGGTCTGTTCTTTTGCCAGTACCATACTGGTTTTATCACAGTAGCTTTGTAGCATAATTTAAAGTCAGGGATTGTAATACCTCCTGCTTTACTTTTGTTGCCCAGAATTGTCTTTGTTATTTCTGGGTCTCTTCTGGGTCCAACTGAATTTTAGGATTATTTTTTCTAATTCTGTAAGGTATATTGTTGGGATTTTGATTGGGATTGCATTGAATCTGTGTAACAATTTTGGAAGTATGGCCATTTTCACTATATTGGTTCTTCCTAAGAACAAGGGATATATTTCCATTTTCTGATATCCTCCTCAATCTCCTTTTTCAGAGTACTGTAGTTTTCAGTGTAGAGGTCTTTTACTTCCTATGTTAGATTGATTCCTAAGTATTTTATTTTTCTGGATGGTATTGTGAAAGGGATTGTTTCTGTAATTTTTCTCTCCATGAGTCTGTTATTTGTGTTCAGGAGGGCTATTGACTTTTGAGTGTTGACTTTGTATCCAGCTACACCACTGAGTTTGGTTATCAAATCTAAAAGTCTTTTGGTGAAGTTTTTGGGGTCTTCTATGTAGAGTATCATGTCATCTGCAAATAATGATAATTTAACATCTTCTTTTCCTATCCCCATTCCTTTTGTTTCTCTT